ATCCTTCTAATAATGATAGTTTTAGCCAATATACTTAATTAGCAAGGATATTTTAGGAATGACAACACTTATTTATTATAAATAACCAACTTAACTTACTTCTTTAATTTCCTCAAATAAGTCAATTGGGTTTTATAATTAGGACCGAATGAGTATTATTTTATGAAAGCGCGTGCTTATTTAGAATTTTAGATTGCACGCTGTACACGCGGAGCCAACCAAAATTCCCCCCTCCCACGAGTGCGCGGCACGTGATCTCTATCTTCCTCATTTTTGTTTGGTTTTCTCGTTGACTTCCCCCCGCCCTGTGTCAATCTATCCTGGAAAATTTAAACAAATTTTTATCACCTGTTATTACTTATAGTGCCATATAAAGCATTAGTTAAATTTTCTCGCATATCAAAATATGTTAGTTAGGTTACCAAATACTATCTCCGGTTCTAATTATAAAAGCCAATTGACTAATTTGAGAAAATTAAAAAAAGAAGTTAAGTTAGTTATTTGTAATAAATAGATGTTGTCTTTTTTAAAATATCTTTACTAGTCAAGTATATTGGCTAAAACTATAATTATTAGAAGGATTATTTTGAAAAAAATTGAATAAATGTGATAGACAAAATGGATTGGGGTTTTATATTTAGGGTCAACATAAAAATCAAACGGGGTCTTATATTAAGAACCGGAGGTAGTATGTTTTAAATTAATAAATATTATCTATTTTATTTTTACTAAAGAGCGTGGTCTCATCTTTCTTATCCATTTGAAACTCTTGTTATTCCTTATAAAAAAGAGTAAAAATAAAAAACTATCATTAGTTACTTCATGAACTTCTTATAACTTTGGATCAAACTTTTCTTCCAGAAGACTTTTTATATCATGGAATGGGGAGTGGTTAGAAGAGTTATTGTTAATAACACTAAATAAATACTAATTAATATTATTTTTAAAAAAACTCCTCTAATCCTTAATATAAGACATATTTAATTAATTTAATTAGATTAAAAAAATTAAGTAAGTTAGTTAGTTAATTATAAGAAATATGGTATGTTTTTCCTAAAACAAAATAATCATCTTTCTTATTATTCTCCCTCTTTCTTCTATTTGATTATGGTTGATGGAGTATTTATAGAGGTAATTTAGGAAAAACTGATAAATATAAGAAACAGATTTTATATTTAGGGCCAAAATTAACTCAATAATTAGATCTTATGTTAAAGACTGAAGGAGTATCTTCTTTGTGCCAACTGGGCCAAGTTAATATTTTAAGAGTTTTCCACATTCACCAACAATATTTTAATTGAATTGGAAATTTATTTTATCCTGTCTGCAAATAATCATGACTTGTTACTTTGTGCGAAATGAAATGCCATCTATAATCTACACACCTGCCACTATATAAAATTCAGAATAACTAATATTCATTGAATTTAACATGCATTTATAGGCTCACCACTTCTGGTGGAAAGGGAATATGAATTTGAACTTAGGCTTTTTGGTTAAAGGAAAAAATACATATTTTTCTCCGAAAGAACTGGATACAGCTCAGAAGTCTGACTACATATTTATTGTCCTATTGCATGAGACTTCACAGAAAAGGAGATAACTGGCAAAAATTATTTTGCAGTCCAGATCCTTTTTTTACAGTGAATTCACGATATTACTACTATTATGAATGTGCAATATTTGAATTTTTCATTGACAAAATCTTACGTTTTTTCAAACCAGATCATATAAGTGGGTTTTGTCTCTCCCAGTTAGGTCTTGTTCATATGCTAAATTCAAGATTAAATTTTTTCCCAATCATTTAGAGAGATTTTTTCCCCATATTGCAAGTCTTTTAAAAACTCAAAGCAACAGTTATGAATATTATCTCCGATCCTTAATACAAGAATTCGTTTAACTTTTATTTTAATCCTAAATATAAGACCATAAATTCACTGTATCTATCATATTTATCTATTTTTTTGAAGATAGCCCTTATAATAATAGTGGTTCTAACTAATACAATTAATTAGTAAGGATATTTTAGAAAAAACAACATCTATTTATTATAAATAACTAACTTAATTAATTTTCTTAATTCACTCAAATTAGTCAACTATTATATTAAAGACTGGAGGTAGTATTTTCCTATTTTAGATTTATTCACCTCAATAATTTTAGACGAGGATAAAATTTACGAAAATAAATGAGGGGCCAATTTGACAATGCAGTGAATAATACGTTTTAAAAGACCGATATTATGAAATGGAAGGCGGAGGAACACCATGGCCCCGAAAGAAGTATCCTAGAAGGCAAAGCCCACTGGAAAGGGAAGATATTAGCTGTGAACCGTGCTTTTCGAGATTTCTCATCTTTTTAAGTTTCCATTTTACCCACGTTACACCCCGTCAACTGGCAGAGATATGCAATATTACCTTCCATCCTTAATATAAAAACTAATTGATTAATTTAAGTATATTAAAAAAATTTACCAGGTTAGTTATTTATAATTATTTATAATAAATAAGTGTTGTGTTTCTTAAAATATTTTTAGGAATCAAGTGTATTGATTAGAATTACTATTATTACAATAACTGCCATGAAATAAAATAGATAAATATGAGAGACAGAGTGGATTGAGGTCTTATATTTATAACCAAAATAAAAGTTAAATAAGTTCTTATATTAAGGATCGGAGATAATATTAGAACAGATGATTTTGCAGAGTTCAAAATTTTTATTTAAAAGCAAAATGTTTAATTATAAATTTGATTGTTATTATTATAAAGTTTATCAACCTATATCCGAAGACATAAAATTGTCTAAAACTTTTTTTTTCCTGGATAATTGTCCTTGAAAGGGCCAATGAAACATGAACTTATCCAAACGAAATGGAATAAATTAAATCAGATACGAGCTACTCCTACCTGAATTTCCACAGGATTGTCATTCACATGATTCGCAATCAAAGCTCAGACATACTTTGACCAAAAAAAAGAGGTGGAAATAGTCACATAGAAAAAAATTAGTGGGAGGCATGCATGATGCATGAGGGATGATGCAGCGGCAGGAGGAGGCCGTCCAACGACGGCCGTTTTTGAGAGGGTTTACAAGATGCGGTGTCGGTACCATGAAAACGACAGCGTTCCGCAAGGCCTTGAAAATCAGACCCAGTACACGTGTAACGTTAGGCCACCCACACAGGACTACTGTTGCCGCCACGTCTGCCCTATCATTCCTCCTCGTCGTAACCACCACGGCAATTACCACCACAGCGTATATTCAAATTTTTTTGAAAAAAAATATAGAGAAAATCCCAAAAAAATGATGGTTAAATTTTAAAATTCTAAATCAATTTTTGTTACTGTGCTCATAAAAAAAAGATTATATTCAAAAAACAAATGACAATACATTTTTGTAGTAATTTCTAATTTGAAATTTTGAATTTCAACAATTATTTTTTACTTTGGATTTTTGTCAAAAATATAACTGTCGATCCTCTTAAATTATTATAAAAATCAATTTGAACAGGAACAAATTATTGGCCCCTCTCCGCACAGTCATTTTCTTAACTGCCGCTAATACACGTTTTCTACGCAAAACAATGATTATCCCTTTCGACGTAACGTGCGAATATTTGCTTATATCACACAGAAATACCAGAAATTTGGAAAACCAATCCAATAGTACTAAGCGTAATCCATGCGCTACGGATTTATTCCTGGTCACACGAGCGCTTACCACTCCTTCTTCTTCTTCTTCTTCTGCTCGTTGTCCAAATTTCTCCCTCGTTAAGATTTTTCATTAAAAAAAAAAAAACACGTCCACGTGTCAAATTCTGATATATTTACACACGCGTATAAGGAAATGACCATTTGTGAGAATAAATGGATTTGACTAAGATAGGTTAGACAGTTGAATGTCCTTTAAAATCAAGGCCCACGAGTTTTTGGCTTTTTCTTTATGGTTTTAAAAGGGGTTTAAAATTTAAATGTTATTGTTGTGTGTTGGTGAAGGACTTATTAGGGGGGTTAGGGAAGGGACATTTAGAGTCTAAAAACGGAGAAAAGGCGGAAATAGGTGACAAAAACAAGTCAAAAGAGAAGTGCAGGCTTGGGCATTTAGGCAAATATGAAAACTTACAAGCAAAGGATGCCTTAGCCAATGTGTTTTCATTCCTTTTCTTTTTTAATTTATTAAATATATATATTTTTTAATTGCTAATGGGGTCGTGGGTGTAATGCCAAATGTAGTACGTGTAAAAACAAATGCCAAATGGCAGTCCGACTTCACCGCCGCGTTTTCTTTTCTATATTTTCCTCCCAAAAAAAGAGAGTACAATGTCTTTTTATATTACTAAATATAAAATAAAAAAGTCATATTTTTCTGCCGGTAAACCAGAAATAAGATTCAAATTTCAATCTATTTTTTGAAATATTGGGAAATATGAATAATGAATAAGAAGGATAGAGAGAGAATCAGACAATGGAGGGAGAGGGGAAGTGGGGGCCCACGGGGAGTGTATAGTGGTTAGTGGGGGGACGCCTCAACCGCTAAAAGCGAAGGGAGCGGAGAAGGGGGGCAGGGCACCAAAACAACGCCTCTCCCACTCACGTCGTGCCCAGCATACACACATACATGCTTCGCTCGTTTCATTTCCGGATTTAAATTAATTAATTTCAAATTTAAAAATAATACTGCGGAGTGGGAGCAACTGGCAATCAATCATCTTCACACCTCGCACATGTGAGATGCACCTCCCTTCTCTTTCTTGCCTTTGTCCGCTTTGGAAACCCTAATTTTGCCCCCCCTCCCCTCCCCTCCCCTTTTGCATGTCTTGCGCGTGTCTCCACCTTCCTCTTCGCCATAAAAAGCCTCAATTTAATCCTCCTTCCTCACCCCTCTCTCTCTCTACCGTCTTTTGCTTTTTTGATTTCCCTGGGACCCAGACGCCCTGCATATCCAGGTGTATAACCGGCTGGGCACTCCCCCCCACCCCCTTCTTCACTATTAAATCTCAGCGAAGCAGCAAAGCCCTCCATTCATAGTCCAAATCTCTGATACTTTCTGCCCCTGCTTTCTCCTCGCTGTCTTCCCCCTCCTCCCCCCCACCACGCCCAAAGGAATGGCTGAGAATTTGGATGACGGTGAGTTCTGGCTGCCTCCGCAGTTCCTTGACGACGACGTTTTCCTGGAGGACACCACCGGCGGTCTCAAGCTCAACTCCAATGCCCTGCTTCGTGCTGTTTCCCCCAAGGATCTCTTCTTCCCTTCCGAGTTTCCTTATGACTTCGAATCCTGTGGCGCTTCTTCTGATCTCAGTTCTCCGGTTGAGTCCGTGGTCGGTTCTAGTGAAACAGAGAGTGACGAGGAAGAGCGCGTGCCTGACCTCACCCGTCGGATGGCTCGCACCGCTCTTGAAGTTGATTCTACTTCTGACAAACCCAAGGTTCTCATTATTACTGTCATTTTTTTGGTGGATGTTCATTTGGCGCTTTTTCCCCCGACTCTTCGATTTTCCCCCCTGCTTTCTTAACTATTGAGTGCGACTAATGGCAGGAAATGTTCGTCTCTGGTTCGCCGCAGTCCACCCTCTGGGCCTTTGGAAGTGGGTGTGGATGCCGGAAAGGTTCGAGCAACGGTAGCCCCAATAGTGCTGGGAAGGTGTCGTCTCCGACTGCGACATGGGATCTACTGCACGCAGCCGCAGGGGAAGTTGAGAAGATGAAGCTGGGCGACGAAGTGTTTGCCTACAATCATAACCAACGCCCCTTGGGTGCCTATCCGTTGAATCTCCCTGTCAGTAACTCAAACCCTCCTGAGTTTAAATTGGTCACCCATCGCCCGCTTTCTCACCAGCAATTGCAGATCCTTCGAGTAAGTTACCTGCTTATGCTGGGGTTCATTTGTTTTTCCAACTATCACACGCGTCCTTTAATCTATTTTAACTCGAGCGTTGTTATTTCTTGTCTCAGTTTCAGATGCTGAGGGAGCAACAGATGGCGAAGTTGCGGAATTCCTCTTTTGGTCTCTACCAACAGAGACGAAGTAACCTAATAGCCCCAGTCTGTGGAGGGAATAGTGAAATTTCTGGTCCCAGAAGCGCTTGCCCTGTGAGTTTCTCTTCACCTGCCTGGCCTCAACAGGCCAAGTTCCCGGCTCAGACTCAGCAATTTGGATCCGGAATGAGAGCTGTCTTCCTCGAGAACCCTTCTGGTAAAAAAAGGGAGTGTACTGGAACAGGGGTTTTCTTGCCTCGTCGTGTTGACAACCCATCTGAATCAAAGAGGAAGCCAGGTAGAGAACAGGGACACTGTTTTCTTCTCTATTGAGCAATTTTCTTGAGTAGGCATGCATATTTAGTTGGATTTAGGTCGGTCGTTGACATTTTTACTAGGACGAGCTTGTTCGATTTAAATCGTTTTCGCGTATAAATGTTTGCTGCTGGTTCGGCATGGAATTTGTGGGGATTTATTGCTGTTTCTTGAAATTTCTCATGGTTCTTGTTGTTTCAATAAATGCTCCTAGGTAAGGTCATTATTAATCTATTTCTGAATCGGAATTTAATGAGCTATTGCCTTTTCCCGTTTGCAGCATGTTCAACTGTTCTGGTGCCTGATAGAGTGGCGCAGGCCCTAAACCTAAACCTGGACAAAATGAGCGGCCAGCCTCAACGTCAAGAACCCCCTCGATTTAATGTGGCGCCTAACATGGACAGTGGTACGCAAAGTTAGTTAATGACAATTTGCAACTGTAATTTATTTTCGCATGCCGTCTTTTTGGGTTTGGACATAAAAATTTCTAGGAGAAATTTATTATAGTATTTTGCAATATCTCATTTCCGTAGTAATTTTTTGTTTCCGTATGCCCTGGAGTTTCTCCTTGTTTTGATTTAGCGAGGAGAAACTCAAGTCAAAAAGTAATAGTCGTATCGCCAGTTAGACCAATTGTTTGTGTATGAAATTGGGACTAATGATTTTTTTGCCCGGTGAAGTTATTCTTGTATTCATCAAACATCAATTTTTGAAGATTATAAGCGATTTATTTATTATCATGTGGCCTTATTGAGCCGTGTGAATCTTTGATTGTGCAGAAGCAGCTTTTCCCAAGCTTCAGAGAAATCCGGGACTTCACCACCAGAAACGCAGCTTGCGGCCGCAACCTCCGCTGAACCACGACCTGCGGCTACCACAAGAGTGGACCTACTGATTATCCAAGTGCTTCTTGTTGGATGCTTTGGTTTTTTGTCTTCAGAGCTACTATAGGAATAGGGTAGGAATTCGATTCGGGGAATAGTAAAGTTAGTTTTTCTGTAGCTTTCAAAAGGAATAGTGTTACAAGATGAAACAGGTTTTTGTTTGGAATGAAAGAAAGAAAGGGGGGAAAAAAAAGAAAAAGAGATGAAAGCGATATATATGATGTAGGAGTGGCAAAAGATAGTGGCATTATTAAGGCATTATTAGGTAGAAAATAATGCTCAGGGAGAATGAAGAACTGCTAATACAGCAGAATATTACTAGCAGTAGAAAATAAGAAAGGGTTGGACCGAATTTGCAGGGCAGAAAATGAAATATGAATGAAATCTGATTCCAATCTGCAATCTCTGTTTGTTAACCCGACATTGCTATAATAATAGTAATAGAAGGAATAGTAACATGTCTTCTCTGCTTCTACAATCTGTGCATATCACTGTATCTTCTTTGTTATCCGTTTGACTTGGATGATTCTTGATTTATTGGTATTGGAGAAATGGGTGGCAATAATGGAATTAAACGAGTTTGACGATTCTAGATGTTATAAATATTGGTGAAGGTGCATGGTGCCTGCTTTTATAAATGCAAGGTATAAAGCAAATAACTTTTGCTTTGTCCAAGACGGTGCGGTGGCAGCTGTGAATGAAGTGTCATGCTCATACATCATCTAAAGTCTAAACCTACCGGGGATCTTTCTGCAATCAAGGCAAAACGGCGGGGGGGGGGTGTTCGGTTGGATATGAGATTTCCTGGTTGCTAAAGGGGCAATGAAAATAAATTTTTGGTAATTGGGAATATTAATCAATAAGATTTGTAAAGATTCTATTCTAGCCAAGAGGCATGACGAGGAGTAGACGCAAGAGGAGGGGCTCTTTGGGTTGTATGTGAGCTTTTTGACTTGGTCTTTACAATGTGCTGGCATTACTCTGTCATCCCTCCTGATTGCTTTCTTATTCGTTTAATGAAATTTAAAATAACGAGTCTTGTATACTCTCCGGGAGTTGGTTTCTTGATTAAAATGCAATACAGGGTAAAAAAATTTAAATATAGAGTTTCACCAAAAAATAAAAACAATCTAGAGACCAGTTAAAATTTGAACAAAAATTAAATATAGGTCATAGCCTCTTTCCTGTGCTATACTGCACTACAGCTGGCCTTGCCCTTTTTCCAAGATTTCACATCACAGCTAACCTTTTCCGGATTAATTTCTATTAATATTTTTTGAGCAAGTAGAGAAAGTAATTTATGATATGAATATATGATTTTATTTATAATTTACTTTCCTTTATATGAGAAATATTTGATCAAATTACGTGAACAAAAGTTTAATTAAAAATAGCACGCAAATATGTAAAAATGGCAGTTTCATTCTAAAAAAATTTCATTTATAGGGGAGAAAATATAAGGAAAAAAATACGAAAATTACTAAAATAAAGATAATGATGTTTCAAAAAATGAGATAATAAATATATTGACTATTAAAAACAAAAATTAAAAAAATAGGAAACTAGTTAAAAAATTTGAGATATCTTGTACTAAATATTTCTTATAAATAGAGACAAGATAGATGATTACTTTTTATATGAGAGAGAGAGAGAGTATTATTTTGAAGCCTATTATTTTTTTTAAAGTGTATATATATCAAGGGTAGAGTTGAAAACTTTTTAAAATTTTGCAATTTAATTTTTTTCTTAATTTTAATTAAACATTAGATATACCGTATAAATAAGGCTTTCTCTGAAAGTTACAATGTCTCTTCGACTACTAGTGACAGAGAGACTGTCGGAATGTCCCATTGAAATAGTCATCGGTGACATTTATGAGAAAACTAATGAATATGCTAATTATTTAGTTAAGCATGAATGTCATTTTATTTTATTTTTTCGTTTACAAATCCAACCTTGGCAGGCAGGATATACTTTGATTGAGTGAGATCATCAATTAATTAGCTTGCCCTGTTTTACATAAATTAAGAAATTTACAATAAATACATTAAAATGTTGATTACATCACAAAACTTGTTCCTACCTAATGTGCGAAAATAAATTAAAGTTATTAGAGTAAAATAATTAACAAATACTGGTTTGAACTTACAAAGGTGCAAATAAAACGAAACAACAACATTCCTCCAAAAATTCTGTGAGGGAATATATGTACTACCTTCGGTCCTTAATATAAGACCTCGCTTGACTTTTATTTTGGTTCTAAATATAAGATCCTAATCCAGTTTATTTCTCATATTTATATAATTTTTTCTAAGATAGTCCTTTTAATAATGATAGTTTTAGCCAATATACTTGATTAACAAGGATATTTTAGGAAAAACAACACCTATTTATTACAAATAACTAACTTAACTTATTTTTTTAATTTTCTTAAATTAGTCAATCAGTTTTTATAATTAGGATCGGAAGTAATAATAAGTTTAAATTTTATGATCTTAATGCGACTCCCTCTGAACAGTGGACTGTGGACGCTAGAGTACACAAAATAGAGTAATAATAATAATAATAAAGTTGAAAGAAGAAATATGTGTGTGGATGGATGGGGAAGAGGAGTCGGAAATAGGAAGGGTGCATCAGAAGCAAAGCAAAGGAAAGGAAAGCGTGTTTGTTACTCATCCATTTCATAGAACTTTATGATTCCGCACAAAAAACCAAGAGACCACAAAGCAGAGTGGATATGTGTCTGTGTAGAAATTTGCTTATATGTCTAATTAATGGGGTATTTTATGGTGGGAGTGACAATAAATAATTATGACAATTCTCCGTTATAATGTGCCTGTTTGTCATCACTTATTTTGAGCTTATAAGTAGCTTATAAGCTCTATAAGCTCGATTGACACAATTGGGTCTGTTTGGATCAGCTTTTTCTGCAATCGGGCTTTTGTCTGAAAAGCTACAATAAGCTATAAGCTAAAATTAACAGCTTATGACTTATAGCTTATGGCTTATAGCTTTTGAAATATGGAGAGAGAAAAAGTTAAGAAATTTATTACCTCTTTTGGTTCTTATTATAAGCCTCAAATAACTAATTTGTAGATAATAAAAAATCAGTTAAAATTAGTTGAAAGTAATGAATAAGTTAGAAATATATATATATATTTTAAATATGCTCCTAAAAATATACTTTTATTTTTTCATGTTTCACTTTATATTTAAAATATTTTTATGACTTCTTCATATTAAATTATTTTAATTTCATTGTATTATGTGAAATTATTTTTTTAATCATGTTTCATTATTTATTAAAACTCATATCTATTTTGGTCATTTTATAAGCAAACTTAATTTTACTCAATCATAATCCAAACAACCTTTTACCAATCTCACTTTTGCAATCTAGTTTTTCTGAACTCTAATCCAAACACAATTCAACTTATCCAATTTAGCTTTTATCCAATTTCACTTCTCTATAAGCTACTTTTTTAATAAGCTGCTTTTCCAATCGCTGATCCAAACGGACCCAATATCCCGTTTTAAATTTATTTACTTATTTATTTATGACTCATTTTCTATGGAGTATTTATTAAAAGAACACAAAATGAAAAGAAACTTAAATTACTAATTAACACTTTTTTGCTATTTATAAGTCACTTGCACATAAAAATTTTGTTTCTGAATATAAGTAATTTATAAAGTAAATAATAAATTTCTTTTTCAATTTTACCCATATTGATTTAATAAATATAAGGAGAAAGATAAAGTAGATAGGTGAAAAAAAAATATAAAATACATTTTTAATACCAATAGAGTGATAGCTTTTTTCTCTCCAGAAAATATGATATAATGACATTTTAATCATTTGACTACATTTGTAAAATATTGGATCAGACATAACTTTCTCTTTTAATATTTTGACCTCTTAGGTTGTTTGAATTGGAATATTATAATTTTTAAAGTTTTTATGTTATTTTTCCAATATCTTATATATGAATTTGATATCAGGAAAAAAAAACAAAGAAAGAGGGGCCGAATGCAATAAAAGAAGAGTCCAAGAGTGGCCGGCACAGATTCAACGGTTAGCTCAACTCCCAACCGACCCTTTCACTATCATCGCTCCTCTTTTTAGGGTCAAACCTCCTTCCTCTCCCGCTTTTAAATGTATCCACCTCTTCTTATTGCATTATTTTCCCTCCCCCAATATTTTCCGAAATAATACTAGTAGTGCTACCATCTGAACTTTACTTGCTGAAGACCTAAAAATATCGTAATTTTTCTCTCTCTAAATCTACTCTTATTAAGAATTACATATTACATTAGGTGAAAGACGACGAATTAATTGTATAGAAGTATAAACTATGAAAAATAATGATAAGTGCATTAGTATGTACTCCTTTCCATTCAAAATATAATCATCAAATAAGTAACTTACGTTTTGGCAGGAAAAAACTAACTTAAGCACCTCAAAAAATTAATGAAAAATAATAAATATGTAAAAATTACAACTTAGTTTTTTATTTATTTAAAAAAACACCCTTATTTATGGAAAGGGTGAATGGGAGAGAGAAATAGAATGAGTGAAAAAATAAATAAAAGAGAATGGGTAAAAAAAAAAAAGATACTACCTCCAGTCCTGTTTATAAGACCTCGTTTATAGATTATGAATGAGGTCTTATAATTAGGACCAGAAGTAATAGAAGAAAGACATATGATTAATTAGCGGTAAAACTTAAAAAATACAATAAATGATTCAATAAATCAAAATTTTTTTATATATATAAAAAAAACCTTTCAAATGTTTGATGCTTAAATTTTGGACAGAGGGCGTGTTAGTGAACGATAGTTGCTGGTAAAAAGAAAAAAAGAATGATACTTGATATTTTAAATCAAGACAGAGTTGACAAAAGATCACCTGCATATTATGGGCTATAGTGGGAGTTGATGAAAATATTAAGTAATTGCGCAAAAATTATTATATTTTTAAATTTATATTATATTATAGTTATCTTAGGATATACTCACATAGTAATATTCTAGTTATGTTTGTTTGTTTTCCTTGCAGGCCTGTATAAATTGACATGAACCAGGAACACACAAAAGATTGAATTGAGTCGATAATCAATTATTGGAGGTCAGCTCCGTTGTCATAGGGCTCGATCCCACCATGTCGACCTTGAGGTCAACCAACTTTGTTCTGTTTATTCGGCAGCTTAAACAAATGAGATTTAGTTCGTTAGATTGCATCATTTCTTTGAAGATTTACCTTCTAAAAAAGATATTAAAGTAGTAACGAGAAATCCCACTTCACAGTATGAGGTGCAATGAAAATGCCCGACATGGTTGAGTTTTATCATCAGCAAGTCCACTGCCAATTAAATTCCTTGGAATGAACACCGAAGCTCCGATAAGCTAAGCGGCAAGCATTTATTGCTGGGAAGGACGATGATGAACAACTCATATCCCACTCAAGACCTGCAAATTCTGGACTTTATACCTATTTCATGCTAAAAGCTGTGTACCCGTACCAGTCTTTTTGACTCTGATTAATGTCATCTCCAATATGATGCATGCATGTGAGATGTTTTGATATCACAAAAGTATTGAAATAAAAGGAAGCTGCTGTATTTTCCTGTCTCCGTTCTTTCCTTATAAGCAAAACAAGCTCGTTCACAAAACGTAGACAACTTGTACAACCCCAAGAATTCATTTACTGAAATTAGGAGGTGTTTGACTATTACCAAAAATATTTTTTAAAAATATTTTTTTATAAAACGAGATAAATTTCTTAACATATTTGTTTTGTAAATTGTAAAAATATTTTTGAAATCTGATTTTCATCTAAATATCTCCTAAATCTTATTGCTCTGTTCTTTCTCTTTGCCTTTCCCGACTCATCCTTTCTTTTCTTTCTCCATGGCTTCCCCTGTTCCTCTTTCCTACAGCAACATGATTTCTATCATTTTACTAACTTCCAACGATTTCTTGTATTAACTCTGCCTTTTCATCTTTTTGACATTTCTTTCAAGGATAAACACAAACTCCCAATCTCCAAGGCGTTTTCCATTAACGTTTTGCCTCTTTTGTAATCCAGCGTTTTAAACTTCATATTTTTTCCCCTTGGAAAACACCACGTTTGACACTTGAATTTCGTGCCGCCAGCATGTTGACGAAATCAGCTGAGGAAGCTGACATAACTTGAACGGTTCAATGCAGAGGCTTTGCAATTGAAGGAATCGGCATACTTTGAGAGAAAGCATTAAATAACGATTCAGTTCATACTCGTCGAGATTTACGATGATTATCTTTAGTCCCTTGTCTCGATGAATCACACATAAGGCTTTGCTAAGTGAATCCATTCTTTAACCCTTGTTCTTCTGCGCTCATGAAATTAAAGACTGTTTCTTGGTATAGCTGAAGTAGAAGTTCTGAAATTTGAGCAAAGAATGTGGGTAGGTCCCATACACAAGAAGAACCACGTTGCATTATGTTTGGAAAATCAAAGGTAGTCACCTCTCTTAACAGTTTTCTCTAATCTCATTATGGGTCCCTATATTGTAACGAGCGGTGAGAGGAAAAAGGAAAAGTTGAGAGAAAATATTGAATATCGTGGAGTACACGTGTCCTTATATACACAAGTGGTAGGCATAAGTTAGTGACAGCTGTAATCTAAAACTTCCTCACTAAAACAGTTATTAATACTCTTATACTACCGGTCCTAATTATAAAATTTTGTTTATAAACTATAAACGGGGTTTTATAATTAATACGGAGGTAGTATATTGCAGCAAGCATGTGAAATCGTGTTGTTTCAGTTTTATATCTTCTTATCCTTTCTTCTTATTTTCAGGTCCTTCTCTACCATTCTAAATTTGAAAGAAAAACGACTCACGTAAGAGCAATGTATTAGTCCTATCTGTCATAAATATCCAAACTCTGTTCTTCGCTCGTTACAAATCTTGCGATTTTATAATTGATATTTGATGATTTGAGAAGCCCTGCCGTTAGAATTTTGTAAATACACAAGCAGCTGGTTTTTATTATGACCTTTGATACGCACACATACATATGTAGGAACCTTAAATTGTCTCTACAGGGCATATTTTTCAAATTTCAAGTTAAAAGAAACAAAGAAACTTGACAAAAGAGTTTGAGTTTAAGAACGAACAAAGATATTCAGACTTCGGATCAAATATAAAGACCATAACAAATGAACATTTTATTTTGGGGGGCCAAATATAAAGAGGGTTGTAGCTGTAGTTGTAATTTTTGAAAAATTATGATAATTATCTATACTTGTGAGGACATTACAGATATAAATCTATTTAAATGATTAGATCATGTGACGTATTTGTATTATTATTGTTATTGTTTTGCCTTGCATGTAGTTCTGCTATTGAGATCTCAATCATATTCATATATTACCTCTAGTTTTAATTATAAGACCTCGTTTGCAGTCTATAAAAAAAGTCTTGTATTTAGAACTAGAGTCTAGAGGTAGTATTAATTAGTTAATGCCCTGTTCGTAGTTCATGCGATGCTTTTCTCATTAGATAATAAGCAGCCCTGTCTTTAGACAAGTTCAGAAAGATTGAAAACAAGTTTAAGGGCTTTTGGACAACAAAAACAGGACAGAACAGGGACATAAAACGTTTAGTAAAAATTCTTCATACGTAAAAAAAACCAAACATGAAAACCAGAAAACAGCTGGACAATTCAATAAAAAGTAAACCCAGAAGCTTGCTCGAGAACCAACAACAAGTTTAATTCACAGAACAACAAGGACAGCCAGGCCCAGCCAATAATGGAAAAGAGAAAAAACAGCAAAATCAAACATGAATTTCTGCTCAACTCTTTTAAACCTTGTGATTAATAAGGGAGGACCTGTTGTGATCATCTGTGTCGGCCTGGTCTGTATTAACTTTCTTGTATTAACTCTGCCTTTTCATCATTTTGACATTTCTTTCATGGATAAATATAAACTTCCAGTCTCCAAGCCGTTTTCTATTAACCTTTTGCCTGCTTTTGTAATCCAGCGTTTTAAACTTCATATTTTTTTCCCCCTTGAAAAACACCACGTTTGACACTTGAATTTCGTGCCTCCAGCATGTTGACGAAATCAGCTGATGAAGCTGACATAACTTGAACGGTTCAATGCGGAGGCTTTGCAATCGATGAAATCGGCATCCTTTGAGAGAAAGCATTAAATAACGATTCAGTTCATACTCGTCGAGATTTACGATGATTATCTTTAGTCCCTTGTCTCGATGAATCACACATAAGGCTTTGCTAAATGAGTCCATTCTTGAACCCTTGTTCTTCTGCGCTCATGAAATTAAAGAATGTTTGTTAGCATAGCTGAAGTAAAAGTTCTGAGATTTGAGCAAAGAATGTGGGTAGTTCCCATACACAAGAAGAACCACGCTGCATTATGTTTGGAAAATCAAAGGTAGCCACTCCTCTTACTGTTTTTTCAAATCTCATTATGTGTCCCTGTATTGCTGCAAGAATGTGAAATTCATTTGTTTCAGTTTTGTATCTTCTTGTCCTTTCTTCGTATTTTCTGGTCCTTCTCTACAATTCTCCTAAATCTAAGAGAAACAAGAATCATGTAAGAGCAATGTATTTAGTCCTATCTGTCATATAAATACCCAAACTCTGTTCTTCGCTCGTTACAAAATCTTGTCATTTTATATTTGATTTGAGCAGCCCTATCCTTAGAATTTTGCATTATGTAGGAACCGTAAATTGCCTCTACCGGGCATATTTTCCAAATCTCAAGGGAAAAAAAAACGGAAATTTGACAAAAGAGTTTGAGTTTAAGAACAAACACAGATATTTAGACTTCGGATGTTGTAGTTGTAATTGTAATTGTAGTGTTTTGAAAAATTATGATAATTGTCTATATTTGTGAGGATATTACAGATATAAATCCATTTAAGTAATTAGATGATGTGAAGTATTTGTACTACTATTGTTTTTGTTTTGCGTTGTGTGTAGTTCTGCTATTGAGATCTCAATCATATTCATATACTAGTTAGTTAAGGCCCTCTTCTTCATAGTTCATACGATGCTTTTCTCATGAGATTATGAGCATTGAGCAGCCCTGTCTTTAGACAAGTTTGAAAAGATTGAAATAAGTTTAAGGGCTTTTGGACGACAAAAACAGAACAGAACAGAACAGAATAGGGACATAAAAAGTTTAGTAAACATTCCTCATACGTGAATCGATGATACATCAAGACATTGCTTCATGCTGATAAAACAACCTTTGAAAACCAGAAAGAAGCTGGACAATTCAATAAAAGTAAAACCGGAAGCTTGCTCGAGAACCAACAACAAGTTTAATTTACAGATCAAGACGGACAGCGAGGCCCAGCCAATAATGGAAAAGAGAAAAAACAACAAAATAAAACATGAATTTCTGCTAAACTCTTTTAAACCTTGTGATTAATATGGGAGGACCCGTTGCGATCATCTGTGTTGGCCTGGTCAATATGTCGATAATACTTGGAGATAAAGAATCCCAAGGTGTGGCCAGCGACAGCAGCTATGAAAATGCCGAGGTTGAAGGACATAACAGCCAGCATCACCAAATAAGAGAAGCTGATATGAAACAAATGGAAAACAGCCTTATATAAGCCTGCAAGGAGAGGGTTAGTCCCACGTTTAAGGGCAGGCTGATTGGAAACAAGTTCAGAGAGAATGGCCAGAACGAAGACGAAGAAGATAGCCAAAATATACATTCCAAGACTGTGGTTGGGCCAGTTAGAGAAGAGGACTATGGCATCTTTGCCCCAGTAGAAGCTCATCTTCATCTTCATGGCGGACTCATTCGCCATTGGCATGGGATCCATCGATAAGACAGAGGGATGGATAAGTGTAAGGGTGGGTGGTTGTTTGATTTGCGTGTAGGGTTTTTATGGTATTGATGACAAGATGGAAACAACGTAGGAGCCCAGCACGCATGAAAAGGGGTGATAATTACAAACAACTAACAAAACTACGTGATGTTAATTATCCAAGGGTTGATTATGGGCAGCCTAACTGAACGGTGTTGTTATTATTGTTGTCGTTGTTGGTACGTAATTAGCATCCATTGATGATGATCCAAACCAACGATGTCCTCGAAGGACATGTTCGATTGCCATCTCCAGCTGGCACATATGATTCATTATTTTTTAAAAAATAAATAAATTATATTTTCATATCTAGGAAACCCATGGACGGTCTCTTGTTTTTTCACCTACGATATATAAAGAAAGTTGATGGGGAAAAAAAAACATAATGAAAAAAAATCTGATCCCTCCCATAAGTCCACATCACCCGACGGTGTGGGTAATTACTAATTGCCAGCACGGTAAAGTGACGTTTAATCCAAGGAAAAATTGGTAATTTTACTCATTATCATCGCATAATATAAACATATTAAATTCTTTTTATGCTGCCTTTTTGCATGAACCAAGGAGGAATATCCGTTGCTCTGGAAAAATTAAGAAAAAAAATCTCCTATTAAAAATTTTATTTGTGATAATGACTTAAATCATCAGAATTTGAGCCCATATGAATACAAAGAACACTTTTAGAAGAACTACTGTTAATTAATCTGACTTATAATAACATAGTCAGATAACTATATTAAGAAAAAAGAATTTGTGTTATTCATCAACTTATAATAATTTCTTTCTATTACAAAATCATACATATTTTTTTTAATTTTGATGTACAGATTGATATACATGAATTGACGATATGCTGAGACAGTGTTCTTTTTGGCTAGATGTATCTGAAACCTGACGAAGCTTGACAAATGAAATCACACCAAAAAGTCCAAAAGCTTTCTGAAAAATCAACAACAAAAGAGCCTTACCACTAGAAGAAGAGGAAAACATTAACAGAACCACACTACCTTGCATGATACATGAATTTATAGAGTACTTGAATGGATAGAACGAGGAAAGACTTCTAAAATACTTCCTCTGGTCCTAATTATAAGACCTTATTTGTAGTCTATAAACGAGGTCTTATAATTAGGAACAGTTGTAATAACTATTTTTTTATGCTATTTTTAGAAGTTTTCTGCCCTAGTATTCTTTCATACACCGGGGTCCTTGTTGGTGCAGTGAATAGCTCGATACTTGAGGATAAGGAAGCCATGGGTGTGGCCAACCATAGCAGCGATGAAGATGCCAAGGTTGAAGGACATAACAGCAAGCATCACCAAATAATGGAAGCCAATATGAAAGAAGTAGAAAACAGAGTGGGACAACCCTCCAAGGAGATGGCTAGTCCCTGGTTCTAGGGTTGGATTTTTAGAGAAAAGCTCACAAAGCAGAGCTAGGAGGAAGGTGAGGAAGATAGCTAATATGTACATGCCGAGGCTGTGGTTTGGCCAGCCAGAGAAAAGGGCTGTGGCATCTTTTCCCCAATAAAAGCTCACCATGTGCATATTCATCTTCTTGGTTCTTTTCATGGACCTGTGCATGTGATCCATCTTTTGCTACCCAATTGCTTGTTCACACACACAGATACAAGTGCGAGACAAATTTTGAGGCTGGTGTTTATATATTGTTTGGTTTCCTTCCAAAGATTAGATCTTATTTATAATTAAGCTCATGAAATATCATGCTACAAAATCGCTGGCCCCTCCATTGTTAATAATCAAACTCATATATAACTCAATGTCTCCTCAAAGTACGTACATGTCACAATGCTCATGTACAGTGTCTTGTTGACTATATGGTAAGTGAATTTTTTTTCACGACAATATGGAAATGACTCAATATATATAACCTCAAAGTCTTGGAGTACTTTAACGTTTTAATCAATTAGACTATATTTATATCAATAATTTTACCTCGCAAGTGGGACATGCATCATATTGACTGTTTAATTATTCTCGATCTCACGCCTTCTAATGATTAAATCAAGCAGTATATCTTGATTTGATGTGGTAATGAAACAATGGGTTTATTGCTTTAATAATGAATATTGGTCTTTCATTCACCACAAATTACAAAACTGGAAGAAATCGACCGTCAACTAATTATGTCGAATTTTGGCCAAAAAAGAAAAAAAACAGAATATGCGCGTGTGAAATTGCAATGATGTCCGCCAAGCACCAGTGCCTGAATTGCAATATTGGCCCCCGGTTTGGCCATGTAAATGAGATTAATAATTATCTGCTATGTGTGATTTTTTTTATGAGAAAGAAGTAATACACATGTACATATTACTACGATTAGCACCGAAATTGGTTCTTTTGTTGCGATGGGAAACATGATGAAAATTAAATATGAATTCACGGAGAACCTCCGTTCTACTTTAATTGTTCGGTCACTTTAATCATGAAGTCTGACTTAAAGTTTTTTTTTTATTGCTCAGAATATTCTCCCACCCGAATCATGAGAGACTAATATCTCGGAATACTGTCAGGCTCCATAACGGGAACCCCTCCTAATAATATTTGTTCCATATACACCGTTTCAGGAATCAAACTCAAAACATGATATTTCAGGTACCTAAGTTTCTTCTACTTAGACTAACACTTATTAGTGTCTGACTTAAAGTTTTGTGTATAAAGTGATGAGAAACATATTTTCAAGTCTTTTTTTTTTTTTGGTAAAGGGATATTTTCAAGTCTTTGGGCTCGAGCATTAGCTCCCATTTAATCATTTGCCCAAACTGGAGATATGGTGGTGGAAGCAAAAGCGGGGTCAAGCATTCTCTGTATTTTTTCCTTGGGTCAACGGTCAAGTATTCATATTGGAATAAATGTTTTTCTCCACTGAATTGGTTTCTTTACTTTTTCCCAAAAAAAAAAATCATGACGGTGTTATGCTTGTTCGGCTCTAAGTTTGAGTTCTGGTATGAGGAAAGATGAGCTGAGCATAAATATGAAGACACATGGTTTGGGTTTGCTTTCTTATTAGTTGAAAAAAAAAGTGATTAATTAGGTCCATGTATATATATTTTATTACATCTAGCTTGTTTGGGTTTTAAATTAAATATGTGGCTATGATTTCATACCTTGCTTTGATTCAGATATTGCTTTCCAACAAGGAAGGAGAAAACCGAAGGAAGAGGGGGGCCAAAATAGAATTTTGTTGGGGATATTCTGGTCTTCTTACTTCGGATCTGATTTAATTTGCAAGGTATCAAAGTAAATATTTTTCCAACATTCTTAATGCTATAAAAATCATCGTATTTATTTGGGTAAACACCACCATTTCATTTCATTCCTTTCTATAACCATCCATTCCATGAACGAAATGGACCCATATTTCTTCTTTGTCTATACAAGCACAAAACGAGAAAATGGCTGGACGAAATTAAAGCTTCCAAGAAAATTAACCAAGTACAAAAAAAGCTTGAGAAGTCGAGATTCACAGATAATTAAACACAGAGACATGTATACTACTAATTAATAGAAGATCAGGAACTAAACATGAACAAAACAAGGCTAGTGTTTATGATACGTGACTAATTAATTTCTGCTGCTAAACTGTTTTAAACTTTAGGGGAAGAAGGGACGGAGGACACGTTGGGGTCTTTGTTGGCTGATGAGCGAATAGGTCGATAGTTGAAGATGAGGAAGCCAAGGGTGTGGCCAACCAAAGCAGCTATGAAGATGCCGATGTTGAAGGACATAACAGCAAGCATCACCAAGTAATGGAAGCCAATATGAAAGAAGTAGAAAATAGAGTGGGACAACCCTCCAAGGAGAGGGCTAGTCCCTGGTTTTAGGGTTGGATGTTTAGAGAAAAGCTCACAAAGCAGGGCTAGGAGGAAGACGACGAGGATAGATGATATGTACATGCCAAGGCTGCGATTAGGCCAGTTAGCGAAGAGGACTGTGGCATCTTTTCCCCAGTACAGACTCAGATGCATCTCCATCTCTTTTGGGCTATTCATGGACGTGTGCATGTGATCCATCTTTTAATTACCAGAACGCAGAATCACAGGGAGAGAGATGGGTTTCTGGTTGGTATTGCTTGGTTTCCTCGAAAAGTTTATGCTCTGTTTATAACTGAGATATGATAGAAACAGTTAAGTACAATCGGCAATGTAAAGTACTCACTTTTGCAAAATGATGCATGAATTGTGCCATACAACTTTGACGAATTGTTTACTAATACATTTTGCTATAGATTAAGAAATAGGTTGCACTATTCATGAACGGAAAATGGTGCAACTTGTTCAAAAATATTATATAATACTTCTGATCCTAATTATAAGACCTCGTTTGTAATCTATAAACCTGGTCCTAATTATAAGACCTTATTTGTAATCTACAAACGAGGTTTTATAATTAGGACTAGAAGTAGTATTTTGTATTATTAATAAATATGCCTTTAATTAATAGGGATAAATTAAAATGCAAAGTTGAATGGGTGGAGCTTCTAGATGTCTCAAATTTAATGGCAAAAGAAAGTCAACATTAAAAATAAAAAATAAGAATAAAGTCGTGGAAAAAAAAAAGAAAGTTATGACAAGTTCGAATAAATTGCAGTTATCTCCTTCATAAATTGTGCCAATAATAATTAGGAAAATTTTCAGTAGATTGCATGAATTTGTGAATTTAGATGTATTGTTGTTTATATATACAAATAATACAAGTGTGGCATTATTAGCATGCCGTCCATCCGTTGGGACCAAAACTGAAAGAGTTGACCTTCCAGTTTGTGATAAATTTAATTAATTAAAGGCCAAAAAATGGCAATATGTCCCTAGCGACCATGAGTTTTGCCACAAAATCTAATGTTTATGGGTATGTGATGCCATGTTTATATAGCATGTTTAACTCCATTACTTATTATAAATTTTATAATTTTAATTTATGGTCTTTATTTTTGAATGGGTACATCATTGACATCTCCTATTAGAAGCAACATATTCAAAGTACTGTCGGATACTAAATGTAGACATTTCTCCCAATAGGGATCCAAGTCTTGGTTCACCATATTGTGGGAAACCAGCCTTTTCTATTAGACCTAACCTCTGATAGTATGCATCATTGAGATTTATTTGCATATATAATTCTTGCATTTTTCTTTTTGTTTTTTCCCCATCCAAGCAAATTACACAAACTGAAAGAGCTGACCTTCAAGTTATATCAAATCAGAAGACATAAAAAAGTTCTATCTTTTTTTTTTTTTTAAATGTGCGATCACATTGATATCCCTCACGAATCATGCCTTAAATTCATGATGAGTTATTACTAAATAGGTGTGGATATTTGTGGCATGAAATTTAAAGGACTAGAAAAATTAGAATGCCCATACTTAAGTAAAATTGAACCATGTCTGACTTAAAAATGTTGGAGCTAATCTTATTTGAAGTATTATTAGGAACTAAACATGGGTATATCTTGCAACAGAGACTTGAGTTTTAATTGGCCACTAGACTCCGTATTCTTTTTCGGTCTGAGTTTTTCAGATGCTCTATATGTGTGTGTACGTATATGCATATGGGTTAGCTTAAAAATGAAGACCCGATTCTGTGATTAAGAAAAAAGCATTTTGGGCCCATTACAAGAGTATGCGTGGTGGAGTGGAAGCTTAAATTATGTTTTTCGCTGAGACAATCATATTCAAAATACTGTTATGTACTACCTTCGGTCTTTAATATAAGATCCCATTTGACTTTTTGTTTGTCCTAATTGTAAGACCTCATTCCATTTTTTCTCTCATATTTATGCATTTTTTTCCAAGATAGTCCTTCTAATAATGATAGTTCTAGCCAATACACTTAATTAGCAAGGATATTTTAGGAATAACAACACTTATTTATTACAAATAACTAACTTAATATACTTCTTTAATCTCCTCAAATAAGTCAACTGGGTCTTATAATTAGGACCGGAGGTAGTATTAAATGTAGGTATTTCTTTATGTGAGAATTCAAAAATTGATTCACTATATTATAAGAGATTAGCCCATTCCACTAAATCCAAACCTGTTAGTAACTTAAATTATATGTTATTCTATACAAAGTTTAAGAAACATCAATGAACTTCACCTGCCCATTTTTGTTTAAAATTAAATTTCTGCAGTTTAAAAGTACTGTTCAAATTTACCAACGTAACCAACTATATGCGATCTTTATATTTTTTTTAATATGTACTTGTTTAAATTGATAAAGAGATAAAAACTATATACGGAAGCGAGATAAACATATAAAGCTCACGGGTATGATATGTATTCAGCTTTTTAATTAAGGGGCTTGGGGAAATTCATTTCAATCAACCATATACCAAATACGAAGATGATATATGTATAGTTTGCATAGTTGCGCGGACAAAATTGTGATGATCGAACTTTGCATGAACACGAGTTTAAATTATAAGAACATGCATAGCAAGATTTTTAATCTTGTACTTCTCCGGTCCTAAATATAAGATCTCTATATACACTTGTATAGGTGTCTTATATTTCAGACCAGAAGAGAATTAGACTACGTTCTATTGTTTGAATACGAAATTACAAAGACAAGTCAAAGCAGATTGGAGGCCTTCACTTATATAAGTACAATCCCGGACCGTCACCCATATATATTGGAAAGAAGAACAAAAATCCACATCTCTCACACTCTAAATTATACATACATATACATATATATATATATAGCATCAAACTTATTATGTGATTTCAGATACAAGCTAAGAGGATATACATATATAATTATGTATATATTATGAAGTTCAAATAAAGGAAGACAGAGAAATTAATCTGGCTTATTATCTTCCTAATTATTTATGTAGATTTCATAACACCATAGAGCCAGCAAGCAAGCTTTCATTCATTATCTTGTAATTATTAATTACTACGATATTACTAGCTGGATGGAAGGTTTTGCTTTCAGTTGCCAGAAATGTTAATGAGTCTGGGCCTTCTGGCCTGATTATAGTAATTAGCAACCTCGTACTTGGGCACAGTCACCGTCAGGACACCGCCGTCCATGTAGGCCTTGACTTGGCTCATCTTGGCGTTCTGCGGCAGACTCAGACGCTGCACCATCCTTCCCGTGCTCCGCTCCATCTGATACCAATTCCCCTTCCTCTCCTCCCTCTCCAGCTTCTTCTCTCCGGTGATGACAACCACCCTCTCGTCCTCCTCCACCTCCACCTTCACCTCGTCCGGCCTCAGCCCCGGCAGGTGCACCTTGTACACATGGGCTTCTGGGTTGTCCTTCCACTCTATGTGGTTCGACGTCAGCGCCGTGTGCAGCTCTGGGTCGTCGTATGGACCATTCCGTATTTGAGGGACGGATGGTTCATTTCGCCGATTGCCGTAACCACCGCCGCCACCGTAACCACTACCACTTCCGTAACCACCGCCGCCACTGTAACCACTACCACCTCCGTAACCACCGCCGCCACCGTAACCACTACCACCTCCGTAACCACCGCCGTCACCGTAACCACCGCCGCCACCGTAACCACTGCCACCGCCGTAACGACCGCGGGGAACAAGGGACATTTTTGTTTGCAGGCAAAGTGGTGTTTATTTATGTGTTAATGATTTGCGAGTGAAGAACAAGTTATTTATAGTGTAGTTGATTGGGGGTGATGACGAAGGTATAGATATATATGAAAGAATATGAGATCGTTACGTATGGGGTGTCACAGATTAAGACGATGGAATCCAGGCATCTGAGGGCCACAGGCCAGTGGAATTGGTTCCTTTTCTCTTGATCGAACACATTAATGAGCAGCTTGATTGATGTCTAGTTTTGAATTTTTTTTTTGTTATATAATTCATGATCAAACTAATTTCTTATTAATTTTTCTTAATTCCTGCGGCTCATATTCAATTGTTCAAAACATGTTAGAAAAGGAACATTTCTTTTAAATTTAAACTAATTTATTCATATTGCCTGCTTGCATAGTGAGAGTGCTACAAATAATTAATTAATAGCTATTAAATTTGGCTTAAAATGACTTTCGTAAGGTGATATACACACGCAGAGACAAATCTTTGCTTTCAAAATTTAGTAGTAAAGTGTCTTGACAATCGGAAAAATATTGGTATGAAATATCAAATTTTATAAGAATTCAAAGTTCAAAATAAATTCAAATATTTTTTAAAAAAACTTAGAGCTAATATTTTCCAACAAAATTTAAAATTTTAACGAGGGTGACATTTTTAATTTGCGATGGAAAGCAGAAATGAGCGATGGAAAATAAAAATAGAAAAGCAGGGAATACTTTAAAAAAAGAGAAGATCTTTAATTAGTGGATACGTCTCTTCAGCATATATAGGAATTTGAAAGCAGCGTGAATATGAAGTTGAATGGCGTTGTCGTGGTGTTGTGCTATTCACACACACGTTTTTTTAGCTATATTTAGAAGTTACTTCTAACATCTTTCACACAGACCAATAAAAATCTTAAACTTCATTAACTTTCATGTAAAATTTAACTACTTTCTAACTTTATTCTTATTTAATATACAATATACCTCATAAAAACAAAGTCAACACAATAGTAAATGAAAGTAAAGTTATATATTCATATAAAAAAAAATTCTATGTCCTATAAATAGGACCAGAGGAGTATATATACGTGATGTTTCATTTCCACACAAGTTTCTTTTTTCTAAAAATAAATAAATATATGGTTGCCCAAAAGATTGCATTATATTACCTCTGATTTTTAATATAACAGCTCGTTTAACTTTTATTTTGATTATAAATATAAAACCTCAATTTACTTTATCTATCATATTTATCCATTTTATTTATAAAATAGTCATTGAAATAATAGTAGTTCTAACCAATATACTTGATTAGTAAGGATATTTTAGAAAAGACAACACTTGTTTATTACAAATAACTAACTTAACTAATTTTTCTAATCTGATCAAATTAGTCAACTAGCTTTTATATTAATAAGCGAAAGTAGTATTATAAAGAGCACACACATATATACTGTTGCTAGTCATAAAATGGAATGAGGAACAGAATATATAAGAGTGAATGGATTGTGTACTGATAAATAAGCATCAATTCTTTCTATAAGATAAATCCTCCCTCATTATAATGCTGCTTTACCCAGATTCCCTGTTGGGTATAATTCGCAGTGCCATTCCTTTCACTATCACAGCTGTGTACATATATGAATGCATAATTTAAGTTCTAGAAGCTGGAAAATTATGATGCGAGTGTAAGAAAACTACGATACCTGGTTCGTTGAAACTATATGTTCATATGATTTAGAGAGTATTTGGGTGAAAACCAAGTCACCATTTTAGAAGTAATTTTACAGAGTTAAAGATAAATATGTAAGAGGAATTTTGTGTCAATTTGTATGAAATTATTTTTTTTGGCAGGTGCAAATTTGACATATTTCTATCAATACGGCTATCAAATTATTACTTGGATGAGTGTTGTCCTCATGATCATAATTGTTTTCTTTAATTTACTTCTTTTCAAACTGCCCTCATGAAACTGTACTGTTCTTTGGAATTGATTTTGGGCCATCAGCACATGACTTTTAGGTTGCGGTCATAGGCCCAATTCACATAGAAATAGAGTCTTAAATAAACTATAATTCAAAACACCTAAGAGGTTAAAGACTTATTTGGAATAGCTTATAAGTTATTTTTTAATCGTGATTTACAGAATACAAAGTAAATATGTGACAAGAATTTTGTTTAGGTTTACTTTAAATGTGTTTATAAATAATTTTAATCGTAACGGCAAACAGGGGCTAAATCTAATAAAAAGTACTAATTCCTTCCAAACCAAACAAACTACTATTAGATTACCATACGAAATATTCCTCCGTGATGTGTGATGTGCAATTAGGCGTGGTTATTTTTTTTCAATAAAATGCTTTTATAGGGGAATCGCATCTAAAGTTGGTGGTTATGCTGTACACAAAGTTTATAATTGACAATCAAAGTACAGATTTTAAAACACTGCTGTAAAAATGAGCTTTTTTTTTTTATATAACCATTTTAGATCTTATTTGACAGTTAATATTCAGGGCTCATTTGAAATCTTATTATTTGAAAGCCCATTGAATAAAAATTTAAAATTTATTTTGTTGGGTTGTAATATTTCCATGGCTTTCATGTGGGTCTGTAATTTTTTTTCAAACCCCATCTCCTTCAATTTTAGTCTTCTGAGCAGGAGAAGAAAAGCTTATTACGTTTAATGGTGTGTTTGGTGGTTGGTTATGTGATAAGATAGGAGTGAGCATGTTTTAAAGATTCATTGAAGTGTAAGAAACATAAAAACCCTTTTTGATATTTGCATGTGGGAGGGTAGTCATAATGAGGCACGATCCTTTACAAGGATATAATAATATTTCTGATAAGTTAAAGGGCTCGGAGCCTTGATGGAAGCCACCTACAGTCATAAAAGCTTCTATATTAATTCTGGCGACTTCCTCTCTTTGCTTCTGGAAAAGGCATGCTTTATCTTTAAGATAGAGCTTATATATATAGTTTAATGGAACACCTACACACACAATATTAATATACTAATACTCCCTCCCTTTCATCATGTATCCTTTAATCCCTTCACTCCTAATCGAATCATAAGAGTTGGTTGAACGGTTTACTTTAATTTTAGATATGGAATCCTAATATATTTTATTCTCTAAATTCACAACATTTTCTGTGAATTATTATGACGGATCATACTTATTAAAAGGGTCTTGCAAATGAAACAAATATGATAACGAGAAAATAACACAAAAATGATACTTAAACTTGGAAATCTTAAAATGGTCATTTAAACAAGTAAAATTTCAATTTAGGCATAAGTAACCAATTTGGAATTTGCAAATTTGCTAAACTGACCATATTACCCCTTATTTTTTATTATTTTTAAAAACTAAATACTCTCACTGGCTGTTCGGTCGTTGGAGTTCTGGTGCCGGTAGCAATTATCAGGACTCATGTGGCTGCTGACACCAGAGCTTCGGTGGCTAATCAACAATCGGATTAAACTTATTAAAAGTGTTTGCAAATGAAACAAATATAATAAAACCAAAGAAGTTATAATAATAAAAAAGTAAATTAAATAAATAAGAAAAGAAAGATGGAGGAATTGATGATGAGGATGACCCAGCTTTAGCAAGCAGGCCAACATTAAAAATGTTAATATGAGAAGGAGAGGCGGAGAGGGCAGGGCCGTAGGGCCGAATTTATTCCACGTGGCTGACTCTGCGCTCACATACGTTACATCCATGAGAGACTATGACCGCGTCACGCCCTTCCCGCGAAAAATGTGGAAATTATTCCCACAAAGTTGTCGCTTTTAATCACTTCATCCCTACCAATCCCGTTATTAATACTCACCTACATTTTACAACAACGTAGTAAGTGGTGAGTTCAATTTCGTCCATTCATCACGATTATTTGTTACGTTTGCCAAACATTTGTGCTTGGACTTTGGATCAGTGAGAAACTGGGCACTTCAATTTGGACTTAATTAGTATTTGGATACATCCAATTCTACTGAAGACATGGTGCGACTCTTGTGTGCATATATTAGAAATATTACCTCCTATTCTTAATATAAGGTATTGTTTAATTTTTATTTTGGTTTTAAATATAACATCTTAATCTATTTTATCTCTAATATTTTTACATTTTTTTAAGATAGTTCTTCTAATAATATTAGTTCTAGCCAACACACTTGATTGACAAGGATATTTTAAGAAAGACAATACATATTTATTACAAATAACTAAATTAAATTATTTTTTTAATCTCCTCAAATTAGTCAACTAGCTCTTATAATTAGGACTGTAGATGATACTTAATTTCTTAGTATAAGAGCTAGTTGACTAATTTGAATAGAGTAAAAAAATTAGCTAAGTTAAATAAATAGGTATTGTCTTTCATAAAATATCATTCTTAATCAAATGTTATTTAATAAAATATTTAACATGTGTAACTATTACCAAACTACCATAAAAAAATAAATAAATATGAAAGACAAAGTGAATCTAGAACTTATATTTAAAATCAAATTAAAAGTCAAACTAACTTTTATATTAAATATCAGAGATAATTTTGTTTTTTTTTTTTTGGGGTGCCTGGAGCTAGTATATCTCAAGTATCTGGGCCATCAATCTTCAATATTACTAGTATTCAAACACACGGACAAGTTATGCCAGGAGAATAACTTATTTTTACAAGCTAAGTGTGAATTTTTTAAACGGCGCAATTCAAGCCTTTTCTTTTTTTTGGCCAGCAATTCAAGACTTTTAAATATAAAAATTTTAAACCTAAAATCTACATCTGAATTCATTTATAAATGACACCGTCACAATTGACGGAAGGCTTATCCATTAGGGCAATTAGGTTTTATAGGATTTATTTCCAAATTTTCTCAAAAAATTGGCTCAATACAGCCCAGAGCATAATTACAATCATGATAGTGATAAATTTAAATAATTAAAGAATGAAGCGTCAAGGCGTAAGAGTTGTTAGAGGCACCCGAAGGGCTATACGCATAGGGCTCCCAGGCCGCAGAGCCCCTGACGCTGACCTCAATTCCTCGGGCGTCACTGGGACCCACCTCGGGATTCGTGACAACGATGCAAGTCTCCTTCTGTGGCCCCACCACCTCATCCCCACTACGAGACGCCGGCTCCACCCTCCCGCTTTCCCCTCTTTTAACAACCTCCATCCCCATTTGAACAAAATAGCCCAAAAACAATCTTCTTCCTTTTCAGTTTTCACTCCCTGCTGCGTTACTGTCCTCTGTTTCCTCGCTTTGGCTTCCTCTTTAATCCCCCAATTCCTTTCTTTTTTCTGCTCTTCCGCCAAGTATGGGTGGTTGCCTGAATAGTGGTCTACTTGATTTTCCTATCCCTTGCCGCTATTCTTTACTTCGCTTGTAATCTACGTCCACCTCCACCGCCTGAGACTCGATTACGCTTTTCATCTTTATCACTATCCTCCTTGCAGTTTTGCTCAATGCCATACCCTCATCCCCCTCCTAGGTTGGTGGTGAGCTCTTGTTTGTTCTTGATTCCGGAGAAACATCAACGTTGTTTCCGATGCTGCATTCCCTGAGATCCCTTGGCTTTTGCGTTAACACAATTTGATCAAGTTCTTCTGATTCATTTCTCTCTATGGAACGGTCGGCGCCGCCGGCATCAGTCTTCCGGTGAGTGGGTTTTCTGTGTCTCTGTTTGTGTTTGTTTTTAAGGTTTTCATTGCAGAACAGTTCAGCCTTCTTGTTAATTTCCAGTTTTATACCGTATTTGGTGTCAGAAGTCCATCGTTTTCCTTATTAAATACTACTTAATTGTTTGCGCAAGCAAATTCACGCTTATCTCTTTTTGGGAGTGAATGTTGAGGTTCATCATTTTGCTCCTTCAATCATAACGTGCACATCATGGGCAAGTCCACTACTATCTTCTTTTCTTAAATCAATCAATCAATCCCCTCACGTGCCTTCCTTGCACAATCTGTTCGGGAAAATGTCAAAATCAATTAATTGTTGAATTGAATTATGAATATATCACGATGGGTGGAAAGCTCATTTCCATGTTTTCCACACCGTCATTGTCTTTTGCCCCTTGATATTTTCTATATTAAGTACGCCATTTATGAATTATGACTCTGGTAAAAATCTTAAAATAACATTTGGAAAATTGGAATTGGAGACGTAGATTTCTCCGACTTCGAAATCAATTTGCTCGTGTACCTCCTTTTTCTGTCTTTTTAAAATCCCTTGTGGTGCCTTTGCTTATTTGCCAGATGTATTAAAGTAGTGAAAAGTTTTTGGCAAGTTATAGCCATTCTGCCATATTTTCCTCCTCCCTTTTTTTTTTTTGGTTGTTGAATCCTCACTTCTTCCCGTTTTATGAGTTAAGTCATTAAAATGAGAAATTTTCCAGATACATAATTGCAAGATGGGCTAGAAACTCTCTGGCAGCATGAGGTCCTCTGGGTGATATTGGGAAGCAAAGCTTGAGCATATTATTCTACCATGACATTCGGTATACAGCGAAGCGATGAGTATTAAACCCCGCTGAGGACATGGCATTCCATTTAGAACCAAAAAAGATGAGGTCAAAAGAGCAATACAGCTCGAAGAAAGTTAAGGAGAGGTTTGATTTGCCTCAGTTCGAGAATGGTTTTCGTCCACCAGTCGGGAATCCCAGTCATAGAGTGAGGCAGGATGCAGATGCTAATATTTTTGTTCAACCAACCAGAAATAGCAGACGGCAGAGCTCGAAGAGAAGGGCAACTAAAAATGATGAGCTTGTCAAGCACATGACTAATGTGCCACATTATCTCCTGCATGCTGATAGAGAAGAAAATATTCCAGACAACCCTTTAAATTTTGGAGTTTTAGATTGGACGCAACTTGAAAAGTGGAAACACAAGCAAAGCCGTAGGCCAGCAAAATCTACCAATCTCACATCATTTCAAGACGGTGAGTCATCATCAAGAAAAGCCACCAAGTCATCTGCTGCCGCCACCATTGGAACATCTCATAAGAAAGGCCTCTATGAAGGTGCCAAACCATATTTTCAGAATGTCAGGAGATCCCAACAATTTGAAACTGAAGAGAAGAGGAAAGACCTGGATCAATCAGTTTCAGCGGTGAGAACTTTTGCATCCTACTTGAGGGAGGACGGGGTCTCGCTAGTTTCTAATGAAAGCAAATATAGTAGGGACAGTAAAGCCCAGAAGAGCATGGAGGGTTTGCAAGAATTTACTCTCAAGAAAAAGGAGAAAAATCGTGACTTCGGGTCTGATATGGGATCGCGATCATCTAAGTTCAAGAGTAAAGGGGTCTCTGAAGGTTCCAAGAAAAATGGTAGTTCCCGCAGCAACAAAATGAACATAAAAAATGAAGAGTTGCAAGAGTCAGATATTGATGTGATGGAATCACATGATGTCAATAACAAACGAGCCCATACCAAACCAAATAATATTGTGCTGCTTCGTCCTCGAGAAATTAGTTCCAGCAGCAACAAAACCAAGATAAAGGATAATCAGTTGCAAGAGTCAGATACTGATGCCAATCATAAACAAGGCCATAGGAAGCCAAAAAATATTGTGCTACTTCGCCCCCGACCGAATCCCCAATCGAGTTCTAACATCTCTGATTTGTCTCGTAGAAGAACGTCATTTGACGAGTTTTTGGCAGGGTCAGGTCGAAGTAGTCTGTCAATTGTTTCCCTTTTTGAGGATATTAATGCTGAAGGCTCATGTTCTCAAATTTCACATTCAAGTGAACAGTGTTCAATGGCTCAACCTGTTCCAACTTTGGGATCATTGCTTCTCAGAACTGAAACTGATCAGGGTACAGATTGTTCTTCTGTTGCATCTGAGACACCTTTTTCATCCAAGAGCTCTAGTCTGCATTCTGAAGGTGCTTACTTTGAAAGGGATGCGTTAAGCGATAAGTTGACAAATCAGTGTGATCTTAGTGACTTAAAGGAAACACTGGATCAGGAAACTGCTGAGCTGACAGCAAAGAGGGGCAGGAATCTATCCAGAAGTCGTCGGTTTAGCTTTAGTTTAAGCCGAATTGGAAGAAGCTTCAGTTTCAAAGAGGGATCTACTCTTCCTCAACTTAGCTCCACATATGTCAGTGCAAAGTCTGGTCCCGTGACGTCTTCATCTTCTGCTCGTTGGTATAGCTCTAGTAAAGAGAAGGATAGTGGTCATGACAGAAGCAGGTCCAGCCCCTTACGAAGGTTGTTAGACCCAATATTGAGGCGTAAGGCATCAAAGGTGCGGAATTCAGCTGAAAGCAGTCAGGTACAAAAAGGAAGCTTGGACTCGATCAGCTTTAGGACAACCAGTGTTAGTGAATCACTTCCAGACGAAATGAGCGAGGGTTCGTTAAGTCAAGCCCATCTACAGGTTACAATAAAAAATGGACTACCTTTTTTCAAATTTGTGCCAAATAATGAAGCAGAGATTCTTGCTGCTGCTATGAAAAGCGTTGAATCATCGGAGAAGGATGATTCCAACTGCTATTTTACTTTCTACCTACTTAATGAAATTAAGAAAAGGAGTGGTAGATGGATAAGTCATGGAAGCAAAGAAAAGGGCCGTGACTACGCCTACAATGTTGTTGGTCAGATGAGGTTCTCTAGCTCTACAATCACTAAACCAAGCAACCAGGACTCTAAGACACTGTCTGTGCAAAGAGAATATGTCTTATTGAGTGTTGAAATTGACCAGACAGATGAAGGACCACCAAAGGTCATCCGAAGTGGGGAGCTTGCTGCTGTTGTTGTTGAGACTCCATTTGAAAGCCTAATCAATAAAGGACTAGAGTGGGATAATAATTTGGTGAAGGGATGTTTAAAATGTTCGGCAGCAGAAAAATGTACGTGTAACTTAGGAGAAAATGACGTCTCAGGGAGCACTACAGTCATACTGCCTGGCGGCCTTCATGGTTCCTCAGACAGAGGAGAACCTTCACCACTGATTCAGAGATGGCGATCGGGTGGATTATGTGACTGTGGGGGTTGGGACATCGGTTGCAAATTGCTCGTCCTCTCCAATCCGAAGCTAACTTCAAAATCTCAACGTGAACGTTTTCAACTTTTTGTTCAGGTATCATGCCCTTTTCATGTATGCCATTCTAAATTTACTGTTCTAACGACCTTGTGTATGCCATTTACAAGTCCTCTTTGTCCTTTCTCCTACTTCTAGGAAGGAGCCGAGCAAGACAACGCCGCTTTCACTTTGGTGCCATTGAAGGAGGGATCGTACTCGGTTGAATTTAATTCGTCGATCACTCATTTGCAGGCATTTTTCATTTCTGTTGCTGCGTTAAGCTGCCAGAAACTAAGTTCATTAGAAATGACCATCATGCAAGAACAAATTTTTAAACAACCCAGCGGTCTGAAGAGCGGTAACAACCTTACTGGGAACGCGCCTGTAAATTATACTCCGATTCCACCACCCTCTCCTGCAGGAAGAGTTTAATTTTTGAAACACGAGGTTTTTTGTTGTTCATAGATAGCTGGTAAAGATCTCCAGAATCCTGATTGCAACGGATATACCTTTTCCCTCCTTCTCTCTCTCCACAATTTCGTTGCTGCTATGTCATAGAGTTTTTTTCACTGCTGAGTAACTTGTGGCAAGAGGTATGGTCATTAAACCTTGTTCATTGTGGTACAGCACATCCGTCTTTGTACAAATCAATATGTGAATAAATAAAATCAGTGGGGGTAAATACACCTTATAATTCAACAAATGATTATGGGGACTTTGTTGTTTGGCTTGGATATTTTAAGGCAGGATTCCAACGGATGGCGCATACATAATTATAAACATCACTCTGGGACTTGGACCCCAGAGATTACATCGTATTGCCAATTCCATTGAGACGATAATCTTATTCCGTTCAGCGTTCAATTGTTTCGGCCGAGGGCCACATTGGGCATGGCCTTTGTTTGATTGAATAGGCTTTGAGTGGGAGATAAGATTGGAGATAGTATGAGTTTGGATTGGATCTTGTAAGTGTTGAGCCCAACTTGAGTATAGTCCAACTCGGTTATCATATGAGCTCTTCGGGTCTCAATTTAGAGCCCAGTAGAAAACTAATTTCACTGATATGTTGTTTAATTATTTAACTTTTTTTTTTTAAGTTTGAGTCAATAATCACATAGATAAAATTGCTTCAATTAACAAGAATTAATAGCTTAAGGGAACAAAGTAATGCAATAAAAAAAATTTAATTAAGGATTACTTTTGGAAAATTTAAAAAAAAAAGAAGAAGAAAAATCACAAGTTTTTGTATTGACTCCTTCATAACATTAGATCCCAAAAACCACAATTCAGTAGCAGCATAAAGCGAGGGTGATTCTTAATTCAAAATTGTACAGAAATATGTCTGCTTTATTAGGTATTTTTAGTGGATTTTAAATTTTTTAGCCATTTGGAGCTACTTTACGTAGTAAGGGAGATAAGGTAAAGTATAAGTAAATGTTAAGGTTCAATCCTTATGCTGTAACCAAAAGGATTCTATATTGTTACCCTAATTTGACGTAACAAAGATGGTGAGTGTCATAAAAAGCAATATAATATGCATGAGATTTCAATATATATATATAGTTTTATATTTTTTGCCGGAAAATTTTATTTTTAAATGACTATATGCAGTACCCTACGTTGGTCGAACTCATTTAAAAAAAGTGAGGAGATGTGTTGTGCATTTATTAAGATGTATGGTTAAAATTTAAATACTACTCCTCCGGTCCTAAATATCAGACCCTTATACATACTAGTATAAGGGTCTTATATTTATGACCAGAGGAGTATTAATTAGAGGCATCAAGCATGGTTGCCAAAAAAATTTGTATTATGTAATACTCATTGTAACAACTTTTATTTTTGCCAAACATTTGAACAACTTTTATTGATTAGTGTGGTTTTGTGATTTAGCAATCTGGTATTTATTCTTTATACTTGGATCGGAGCGAGTAATAATACTATCTCCGGTTCTATTTATAAGAGCTAATTGACTAATTTGAAGAGATTAAGGAAAGAAGTTAAATTAGTTATTTGTAATAAATAGGTGTTGTCCTTCTTGAAATATCTTTACTAATCAAGTATATTGGTTAGAATTACTATTATTAGAAAGATTGTATTAAATAAAATACATAAATATGAGAAACAAAATGGATTGGAGTCTTATATTTAGAATCAAAATAAAAATCAAACAAGAACTTATATTAAATACGGGAGATAGTAACTCATTTATTGAGAGAGCAGCTATTGTTTTTGGGATGTATTTTTAACTAACCAGGAAAAAAAAAACAAGGGGGAAAAAAAAAGAAGAGAAGCCATAATTGAGGCATAATGGAGCACATTGGGACTTAAGAGGAGAGGTTATGGTGCTTCAAGGCATTTGAGGGCCCAAATGATCAAATGTGGGTTGGCACTACAAACAATTTGAGAGGCCATTTATGGAGATGCTAGCCCCACCTCAACAAATTCCCATGCTTGTTCATGACATTATTATTGATCTTTTCATTTTATTTTATTAATGTCACATGACATGGTATTAAGATGCTATGCAATTCCTCTGTATAATTATTCTCATTCACATATCTGCAATTGAATATTAATTGAGTCTGATATAAGGCGCTACTTACGCGGTCGCTTACGTTGTCATTCACTCTTTCAAATTTAAATTCAAATTCCAGGGAACCAACTAACTCCAATTTTAATTATAAGTAATAACAGATTTGATGACCAGTCCAACTTTGAATTCTAACTTCATCTAATAATTTTATTGTATTATATATGTTCTAGATTCGAACTTTTAAGACAATCAATAATCAAGAAAGCTTTCCATCGGTTCCAATTTTGTAATTGCAAAATACCAACATGTCTTTGATTTTATCTATTTAAAAAAAGGGAAGGTCAGAATTAGAGAGTTCAAACCCTCTTACTTCTAGATTAGATATTGGGTACTACCTCTGGTCCTAATTATAAGAGCCAGTTGACTAATTTGAGGAGATTAAGAAAGTAAGTTGAGTTAGTTATTTGTCCTAAATAGGTGTTGTCTTTCCTAAAATATCCTTATTAATCAAGTATATTGACTAGAGCTCTTATTATTAGAAGGGTTACTTTGGGAAAAATGTATAAATATAAGAGACAAAGTGGATTGGGGTCTTATATTTAGGACCAAAATAAAAGTCAAACAGGGTTTTATATTAAGGACCGGAGGTAGTATTATAATTGCTTCAGGCTCGAGCCACGATTTGATCACAGATTGATGTGTTGGAGGATATTTTGAAAAAAATACTTAATCTAATCTTTAATTCAAAGCCGCATTATTCATTTATGAATATTAAAAAATTAGTTATTTATAATAAAATATAATTAATTTATGAAAATGTTTTTTATGATTAATTATGCGCATTGTAACAATCGTTTGATAAAAATTCTCTTACTAGTTATAATTTATATAATATCTTGGAAAAAAAACCATGAATAAGAAACAAAATTTAGTAACATCTTATAATTAAAATCAAAATAAACTACTATTTAGTTTATATTTAGCATTAGAGTCCAGAGTTGTCACTGGAACCTGAAAGCAAAACTATCAATTTCTTAAGTGAAGAGTAATTAGGAAACTAATGAGAAATATGCATGAATTAATTAACAAGGGTAGGGAAAGAATAAGATGCTAATACGAATTCCAAGGGATTCAAAGTCCAATGGCAGGTGGATTATATTAAATTGTTGAAAGCAGAGATTTGTAGGTATGTGGGCTGTGATTAGTCCAATGCATTATCTCGATGGCATGAAAAGAACTAAATTATAAAATTAAAAAAAAGAAAAAGAAAAGGATGGTACTACTATACTAAAATATTATTATAATTACCAAATGAGCAATTTGGTTTATAAGGAAGGTGGGGCATAGCGCTTTATTAGCCGTCATTGCCGTTTTTATGTCTGCCAAATTGCTTCCAGGCCCAATGTTAATTGAATTCCCATAAACGTTATTCTTTTTTAACCCTAAAAAGACCCCCACCGAGTGGGTTTGATTTCTGAGCTGATCAAAACACTAGGAAAGGCAGATTTGAAGTCAAGACTTTAGCTTCTAATATGTGATGATCTTTCATGTGGAGCTCTTTCAGTCCCAGTTTAAGCTATAGTATTGGATAGGACGGAGTCAAGAGCTAGTTTCTTGTCTTTAGATCGTGGGTGCGCTAGACCCTTTTCTTAAAATTCTATCACTAAAAAAATAAACCCTAAGAAGACCCCCCAAAAAAAATCCACAATTATGCATATTACAAAAAGTATAAATGAAGTCATGAATGATTTAACATTTTTTAAGAATTACTATATGTGATTAAACATACTTCCTATGCATTATGTTTTGAAAAATAATTTGCATTATTCACGATTTATAAATAGGTTATAATTTTATATATCACGAATAGGTTATATTATTAGTTGTATTAGTCATTTATTTTCTGTACCCGTCTAGTATAATTATTTGAGACTTTGATTCAAGAGATGTAAAAAGAGAGAGGTTTTGATTTAATATAAGACTATATTAACTAATTTAAAAAATATATAAAAAGTTATAAAATTATTTTCTTATAATGCGTATTATATGATCTTTCTAAAATATTTATATGTATTATTAAATTATATATTAAGTTATATGCAAGTGAAATTAATTTTAAAAAAATAAATATATATTTTAAAGTAATTTAATAACATTTTTAGTCTCCTCAAATTTAATTAATTGGGTTTTATATTAAGAGTCAGAGTAGTAACATCTACAAATTACAAATCAGTAAACTCATAATATTGCTAATGAAATTTGAACTCAAAACTCTTAGCCACTTGGCTAATCATTGCTTGATAATATAATCCTATATTTTTACTGTTGATTATGTATAAGTGAAGAGCAAATAAATTTTTTTATTTTTATGTGAAGCATCAAATCTGTTTTATAGAGAGCGGAAAATTAAAGATCCTAAGTGACACGAAAATCATTCTTAAACGAATGAACCAAAGTAAGAACAAAATAAAGGGCAAACATTCAAACAACAACGATACGAAGTAGAGCCTAAAAGGAGTGGTTGTCGGTCATAGCCCCGCCGTGCTAAATGACCTTTGACCGTTGACCTCACGTGCTAATCCTAATTTCAATTCTTTTTAATTATTTTATTTCGCTAATCAATCATAATCATTAACATAACAACATCCTGTTGGAAAAGAAACAAAACAAAACAAAAAACAAAAAAAACAACATTCAACTTCTCCCCGTTGAGGAATACAGAATACTCTTTGAATTACATGTGAATTTTCCTTTATAATTATAGGACATTAATTACGAGAAGGTTGCCAAATGGTTATTGTTGTTTGAAAATTTTATTAGTTAGAAAGATCTAAATTTGAATATACGTGTTTTCTGTGTATAAAATTCTGTAAAATTCATGTACTTTTTGTGTATAAAAATAATCTAGTTAACAAAATTTCCAAACTTGTATTTTTGAGCTATTTTACCTTAAATTATTCTCTTCATTAAATTGGAAAAAAAATCCAACACTTTTTTCTTGTGCTTGAAAACTTTACTCATTAAAATCAAAACGATCATTCTTATCATCATAATTACAATTAAACCACATACATCGCACGGGTGCACCACTAATTTTAATTTATCACAAGACCAAGAATTGATCACACTTGAATGATTGCAAGAATTTTTA